TGACAGTTTCAAAAACTGCTGGGAGATGAAGGAGCACAAGGATGGATGTATCACGTCCATCCCTGTAGGGAATAAGGAATGGCCTTGAAGGGCCAGGAGGAAGAGCCACTACCAAGGCAACAATAAGAGGAGCCAGTTCATTCCAAGTAACTAATTTAAGAAAACATCTCACGCCCCTCCCCAGTTCATACAGATAAAATGAGGGAGGGGGGAAGCACATTCAGACTTAAAATTCTGTTACTATAGCTGTTCCAATAAAAGTTGTTTAGATCTATATGGCATTGGTTTCTAAATCCGGTTTACCTTATAGGGCTGACAATCCCAGCCCCACCACAAGTCATCTACAAGTGCAACCAAAGCTTTATTTTAGTCATTGACCAGCAGAACAGATTTTTTTAAAAAGTCACCTTTAACTCATCAAATAACAGTATAGCCTATACACCATAGCAACTGACTAGAATAAAACTGTAAAATCATAATTAAAATTATAAGTAAGAACAGTTGACAGTAAGGTCATAATACATTGTTATCGAATAGTTACTAAATGGACAGCTGCATTTAGTTCCAAAAGGAGAATGTCTGAGAGGTGTATGAAGAGAAGTTATGGCATATTGTACACACTATGGAACAGTATTTGGCTATATAATTGGTCCTCGGGTTACAACTATTCATTCAGTGATCATTCAAAGTTATGGCGGCACTGAACAACTGGTACTTATGATGGGTCCTCATAGTTCCAGCTGTTGCAGTGTCTCTGTGGTCACGTGATCATGATTTCCCACATTCCTTGCCAGCTTCCTACAAGCAAAGACAATGTGGAAGCCAGCAGGAAGTTGGAAATTGCAGTCCCGTGAGGTCCTCACTTAAGGACCCACGCAGTCCTCCTCTGATTACAACAACCGGAACTGTCATAAATGCCATCACTAAGTGACATGGTCATGTGACATCACACTTTACAACCATATCGCTTAGTGATGACAGTTCTGGTCCCAATTGCAGCCATAAGCTGAGGACTACCTGTAGACACTGAAGTAGAGTCAGATTGATCTGATAATAACAGTTTGAGATAGAAGGAATCTCTACTACAAATATGAGAACCACTGAATGTCATCTGGTAACTGGATGCAGATTGGCTTTCTCTGTCACCCAAGCTCTGGAATCCTTTCCTTCTGAAATTTAGGAGGAGCCTAATAAACAAGGCATGAATGCAATAGCATCCTCTTGTTCAAGTTCTCAAGAACTGTTATTTAAAGACTTCCTGACTCTGATATTGGGAATAATATATCTGTCATGACTAATAGAAATTGATTGCTTTGTTCTATATGAATTTATTTAATGTCAAATAAAGCTGTCCAAGTTGGTGGCCATCAATCCATCTTGTCTTACTGAATTTCATAATAATAGTTATATGCTGTGCAAAACACTTTACTGTATTTGGCCTGCGGCCATTCAGCTTCATCCTTAATGTTAAATAGGAAGAAAAAACCTATATCTGTGGAGTCTTTGGGGTTCTCTGAGCTTGGTTGTTTTCTTGCAAACATTTCGTTACCCGGCTAGGTAACATCTTCGGCACTTACCTAGCTGGGTAACGAAACGTTTGCAAGAAAACAACCAAGCTCAGAGAACCCCAAGGACTCCACAGCTCAACCCTGAGCTACACATATTCTCTTCTATTGGAAACCTATATCTGTCCATTTCACTGTACAGGTAGTCCTTGCTTAATGATGGTAATTAGGACTAAGAAAACAACCAAGCTCAGAGAACCCCAAGGACTCCACAGCTCAACCCTGAGCTACACATATTCTCTTCTATTGGAAACCTATATCTGTCCATTTCACTGTACAGGTAGTCCTTGCTTAATGATGGTAATTAGGACTAGAATTTCTGTCACTAAGCAGTGCACTTGAAAAGAGCGACATCACATGACTTAGCATCACTGAGCAAAGGCAATCCCAGCAGTCCCCGTTGCTGTTGTTAAGCAAGGACCTCCTTGCGTCTTCCTGCTGGCTTCCAGCAAGCAAAGTAACTGGGGAAGCCAGCGGGAAGTTGCAAGTCCTGGGCAGCTCACAAGCAGGCCAGCGGGCAGGTAAGTGGCTGGCACAGCCCAGCTGGTTGGGGGGTGGCTGCTGCCATGCATAGGAGGGTGTGCCAGTGGATGCCGCAGCATGAATGCAGCCAGGCTGGGGGTGGCTACTGCCAGGTGCGGGAGGATGCGCCTTACGTGCCTCAGGCTCCTAGGGAGAAAAAGCGGCAGAAGCAACTTACGTTCCCTTCTGGCTTCCCCATTGACTTTGCTTGTGGGAAGCAGGCAGGGAAGGTCACAAATGGCAATCACATGACCGCAGGATGCTGCAGCGATCGTAATTGCAAGCCAGTTGTCAAGCGTCTGGATTGCGATCACATGACTGTGGGGGTGCTGGGATGGCCAGAACTTTGAGGACCGGTTGTAAGTACCACTCGTTCAATGCCATTGTAACTTCTAACAATCATTGAACAAGTGGTTTTTAACTGAGGAGCATCTATACCATTGGTTCTCAACGGGGGCGGTGGGAGGATGCTGAGGGGCGGTGAACTTGTTTTGGGCAGTAGGGGGGCAGTGG